TTCAAAATATTTAAAAAATATTTTTCTTCCTTTCAGAAAGCAGTATTTACACTCAGATATATTGATGAAAATAACAGTTAGGCTTTGTGCAAATAACTAAAATCAAGTGTTATTTATCTTGGAGTAAACTACCCATGGCATATTTCGTTCAGAGCTGCTTTTAAGTTATTCAGCAGATACATAATGTGCCCCTGTATGTGAATTCACTGTTCACAGAGTTACAGAGAATAGGACACAATTCTTTCCTCTCTCCCCAGTACCAAATTTAGCTGTGGGAATAGGATAAATAATTTTAAAATAGCATTTGATAAATAGCACACGTAAACTGGATAGAATAAAAGAAAAAAAATCTATTTATTCTAAAGGACTATAGTCTGTTGTCATTAAGATGCTGCTGGCAATGGCCAATTACCAAAGGAAGCTTAAGAAAGGAAGGGGGTCAGAGTTATGTGTTATGAATATTAATATGTGGGGTGTATTGGAAGAGGGAAAGATAGGAAGGAGACAGACCAATTAAGAGACCACTATTCCTCTGATCTAAAATCTTGAATGGTTTCCCAGTGCTTCCTGAATTATTCATGGCCTGGTATTAAAGCCCTCCCATGTGGTTATAATATATTTTGGTATTCTCTCCCACTTCTCCGCCTTAAGAGGCTCTAGCTAAATTGACTAACTCCAGGTTCCAAAAATAAAAAAAAATAGTATGTTTACCAACTTCTTGGCTGATGTTATATTTTTCGTTTGCCTAAAATGGCCCCCATGTCTACCTATCAAATATTCATTTATTCATTTGTGAGTTGTAACTATTTTAAGGTTTGCGAATCAACTGGTGAGTAAAGCTGTTAACTTATGTGGAATCAGTTGCACCGATGAATAATTATGATCCCATGTATAAGTATAGTGGCAGAGAAAGATCTGTTATTGGAGAGATCTCAGGTGATGTGCCCTAACCTGCCCTTAGGGGATTGATAGAAGGGAAGGTTCCTGAAGAGGCAATGCCTGTCCTAGGTCTCAGGGTGGATCAGAGCTGACTGGCAAGTATGGAATAGAGAAGAAACTGAGAAAAAAATCTTTCAGACTGAGAGAACAGACTCAGCAAAGGCACTGAACTACAACATAGGGAATATGTTAGGGAAACGCAAGCAAATTGGTGTTCCTAGAATGTAAAGTGCGAAGCTGGATACCCAAACAGTGGCCAGATTGTGGAAAACCTGGTACGCTATATCAGGAACCTTGCACTTACTCTGTAAGATAGTAGTTTTAAGACACTTTTAGCAGAACAACCCTTGGTGGAAAAGCTTACATAGAAGCCCTGTACAGCGGGTAAACTCCAGATTCAAGTGTGGTTGAAGCAGAGGTGGGAAGAGCGGACTCGCTGGAAAAGAGCCTGATGCTGGGAGAGATTGGGGGCAGGAGGGGAAGGGGACGACAGAGGATGAGATGGCTGGGTGGCATCACCAACTCAATGGACATGGGTTTGGGTGAACTCCGGGAGCTGGTGATGGACGGGGAGGCCTGGAGTGCTGCAGTCCATGGGGTCGCAAAGAGTTGGACACGACTGAGCAACTGAACTGAACTGAAGTAGTTCACATCCACATATGAGCATACCATCTCTTCTTTGAAAACCACTGCAAAGGAGAGCAACTGAAGGCCGTTAAGCCTCAGAATGACATGGTTATGATTGCATTTTTGAAATACTCTGTTAACCCACATACAGGTTAGGTTTAAGGGGCATAATATCACCAACAAAGAGACCATATTACTAGTTTGGATAAGAGAGAATTGGAGGCTTTTGGCACCAGCTTTGATGGAGTAACTGTTACAAGACTAGCCCTCCCATTGCAAACAATACAAGACTGGACCAAGAAATACACATAGCAGCTATTATTTTTCAAACATTGGACAATAGGCAGCCAAAGACAGTGGTGGTCACCACTCTCCTTGACCAAAAAGAAATTTCAGAAGATGCACAATATAAGCCAAGAGAGGTTGTAAGAAAGATAAAAATTTCTCTCATGTTATAGAACCTGAAAGATACACAATTTTTAGGGTAATTCAGTATACAAGTAAATGTGAACTAGTAAGCTAAATTAGGACAATTGGAATGGAAAAAATTGTTTTTTAAAACTGTCTTTTTAAAAACTAATTTTCTTTGGCTGTATGGCTGAGATTTGTAAAACTCTTGCTTAGTTCATTTGAAGATACTTGAAATATTATACCTCTAACTTTTAAGAAGCAGGTCAATATCTTTAAAAGGATAATTTATGTAAGAAGCAAATCAATGGTGTTGTAAAAGGAAATGATTCTTAAGAAACACATTTAGAATAAAAGTAAACACTATTCTCCATTATATTGAGTCAGAAATGTCCTAAACTTAAGAGCAATGCTGTGAATAAAATCATTCATCATATTTTAAGTTTCAACTGTGGAAAAAGAAAAGTCTACATTGAAACTTTGAGAATATAATTGTGAGTGACATTTAGGCTCAAATAAGATGCTTGATATATTTTATTTATTCTCTTTTTAGATATGATACAGATAAATTATGTGATAATAGAAACCATGTCTTTCTTTTTCCTTTGCCTTTATGAATTTCCACAGAAAAGATTGTAGGTCAGTCCCTCCTAAAATATAAAAAATAACCCCTTTTTTCTCTGTGGCTTAGGTCTTCATTAATTCAGATAATAGGCATTTTGGGGGAACTATTGCAAAAATAGTTATGTTTATTTAGATTCATCTGTTTGTTCAAAGATCCAAACTACTCCCCGCCCCCCCCCCCAAATTTACCTCCATTCTGTCCTAAGGCAGGTAGAGGATACATTTTTACCTTCCCTATTAGGAGGGGGTTATTTAACCTCTGGGCGCTACTCTTTTAATTATTTAAGTAGAGATCATTTCCATCCTGAAAGGGGCAGATGACTTAGATTACTGTTCATAAAGTTTTCTATTACAGAGCTTTTGGAAGAGTTAATGTCTTTACTGATGCTATTATTTGATATCCCCTTATGTTTTAGAATTTTACTTTTCTTAATTCCACTAGCAGTAACTGTAGTTATGGCAATGAGGAAACGGAATTTTTAGTCTTATAAAGCATGAAAATTTTCAGTCCTTATGAAGACATGAGAATTTTGCTTTTCAGACTCCCAGTAATACAGAGAAAACTTCCTTTGGTATCGTCCCCTTGACCCAGTCATAGGACTTAAATTACTGGGGCAAAGCAGGAAGCAGATACACTTAAGCTCGTATCTGTCCCAATTTTGCTGGATCAATTGATGTGCCCATATTAATCACCTGGAGAAATAAATTATTCATCATCTGTAAAAAGGGAATAATAATAATAGCTCCCTCATAATGTCACACATGTAAATTCCTTAGCCTTGTGCATGGTAGGAACCTAATGCTAGTCTATCGAAATTTGTTTAAAAATGTCTATATTGGAGCCATAAGAATCAGAGACTATGATTAATTGTTGCCGAATTGGTTGCCTGCACCTACACCGGGGTCCTAATCTAAGCCAAGGGGTCTTGGTCGAGGAGGTTCTTTTTCCCACTCAGATTCACACAACCAATAATAGCGAAACTGGTGCTGAGAATAGAATGGCACATAGTTTATTCAGTGACCAAAGAAGTAGAGACTTGTGGGAATGTACTTCGCAAATCAACTTCTCCACCTCATTCAGGTGGAGACACCGTTTCTGTAGAAGGGTTGAGGTAAAAAGGACAGAACTGAGTAAAGAGAAGGAAGACTATTCATGAGATACCTGCGAAGAAGGGTGTGGTTTGTACACAGAACTGAGGTGGCACCCCTCTTCAGAAAGGCTTTGTATGGACTTTCCCAGTTGTCACGGCCATTGCCAATTGTCATGGCGCTCGTGGGCGTGTCACTTAGCATGCTAATACATCAACCGCCACGTCCGAAGATCAAGGTCCCCTGGAGAGCGGGTCTTCTGCCAGCTGGGGCCTAGCTGGCCCAAGCCAGTTCTTGTTTTCCTCTCTGTAACTTCCTCTTTTTGTAATTGAGCCTGAAACTCAGATAAGGGCAGTTAGTGTCCATTTGAGCGAGGGGCGGGGGCATGATTCTGAGGCCTTGGGACCATAATTCCTGACATAGTTTGCCAAACTATTTAAGATATTATAAACACTATTCTTAATTCCGATAGAGGTTACTAATAAAGTCTCACTGAGAAAAGTTTTTGCCCTTCTCCCAAAGTAAGATGACTTGGTTTTTTACAATTACCAAAACTGGGGGAAGAAAAAGGAACTTAGAGCCATCGCATTACTTCACAATAATGACCCGTGTGTAAATTAGAAAATAGTTAATGGCATTAGACATCGTTTATACCACTTGTCGTTCTCATTCCATGTGTACAATCAGAAAGAAAAATTACGCGAGAAAAAAAATATTTTTTTAGGATTTCAAAAATTAGTCCCACTTGTGGAAAAAATATGCCATTTTATGCGAGTATCTGTACGTTTTGACTGAAAACGTCTATAGATAGTATTGTATTAACTATCTCTAAGTGCTTACTTCTAAAATTGGAGAAAATTTGGGTAATTTTACTACTTTTATCTAACAAAACCTTCTTTTACGAGAAGTTTGGAGCGAAATCTTTCTGGTTGGCTGTATTTCCATTACCTTACTGAACGCTGGACAGAATGGGAACTCGTGCACTGGTTTCTGATGTGAAAGAATCTTAACTTGCGTGGGTGTCTTGTTTTGTGTTCCAAGCTCCCCAAGCAGATACACCTGGATGTGATTTGTACATACTTCATGAAAGCTCATTTACATACTCACCTTTCCAGATCTTTCCGTTTTCTTTTTTAAAGAAAAGCTTCCTGAAAGGGGTTAGTAGTACTTTAACCATTGTGTAGACGTTATTTCTCCATTTCTTCTGTCTTGCTCTGATGATTGCACACTCCGGTCTTCATCACCTGAAAATGTTATTCGGTCAGAAGGTACTCATGTCACAATTAAGCTTCATCTCTTTTTTGGTTTACTAGATGCCTGTGGAGGGAGGACAAGAGCAGCAGACGGATTCCACCAAAGGGCGATGCCTGCGGAGAACCGTCAGTGTTCCTTCCGAGGGTCAGTTTCCTGAATACCCACCAGAGGGCGCCGCTAAACTGGGTAAGCTACTATGTAAAAGGAAAGAAAGTTACTAATTTTTATCCGGTAATTTATGGACTTGTTATTGAGAGTGTTACAATAGAAGAAAACATCCTGCGTTTACTGTTAAGTAAGTACTTTAAAATATAGTCAGAGGTCATTAGAAAGTTTTATTCTTTATAACCAAGCGATAGCAAAGTTGTTATCAGAGATAAAATTTATCTGAGCGCTAGTATGGTTGTGGTAAAATCCTAGGCATGTCGATTGATGTGTTGTTTCTGGTTTTACTGCTCGGCTTTACATTTTTAAAGAGTGTTAGATGGTCCTGTTGAGGCACTAGGGAGTCAGTTTTGGTTGAAAACTTAGTATTGAATGGCTTGTGTCCTGTGCACATAACTACTGGTGTTGTCTTGCATAGTGTAAGGTCGGATTAGGCTAAATCACCTGAGCCAATTTTATATGGCCTGTATAAGTTATTTTCAGGCTTGTGTTTAGAGTGGCTGACACAAGGGAGACATCAAAAAAACCCCACTTGAGTTGTTACATACTAAAGAAATTAATGTCAGTATCAAAGCAGTTCTTTCTCTGTTTCTTACCAAATGAATCTCTTTGGCCTTTGCATACTTACCAATGGATATTTAGATAATTAAAATAGTCAGGTAATTTTAAGGAAATATAAATAATATTAAATGAAATAATGAAAGAATTTGAAACATAGGAGTTGTTTTGGTGTTTTTACATTGTAGCAGTAGTATTTGTTTAGTGCACCTAGACATTTAGTCATAGATACTTTGTAGGTAGGTGAAACAGTCATTTATTGTCTCTTTTTTTGTTAGTATGGATAATTCTGTGATTTTGTTGTATTTTTTAAAATCAAGATTTTTGTTTGTTTGTTTTTGCCTTTTTCTTCATATCTTTTCATTTTCTAAATGGAACTTTGTCAGAATTTGAATCCTTTAGTTCCCTTTTTATCCTGTGACATTTGTTGCTTTCCTAGACGTTAGTCAGGTTAGCAAACACTTCTTCAAGGGGTCATACTTGGAAGAATCAAATTTTCCTCTGATCCTATTTCCATTGTACTTCTTTAATATGTGTTGAAACCAGTTTAGGTGTGGGCTTAAGTTATATTGCAGACCTGTCTGGGTGTGACCATTTTGTAGCCTGTTTGCATTTCACGTATACGTTTTGTGTGAACTGGACTAGCTCAGAGTTGCCTTCTTTCAATTCCTCTGCTTTCATTATTTGTAATGTATGACTCTCTTTGTCACCTTCTCCAGGATTCTCTGACTATTCATGCTTTGATCCACAAAAACCAGTTGATTTTGAGGAAGTGCAATCACAGTCTGAGTGATTATTGTGATTTTATAGAAAGGAAATAAATAGTACATTGTTATCACCAACATTCCAGGTACAGGTCCCAAAGACAAACTAAGATGAAGTGACTAAGATGTGTAGTCCAGAGCTAGTCTTCTACCTTCTGTTCTTGAAAACAGATTTGGTTCATGCTCGTCCATCATCTTTTTTGGAGTGGACTTCCTAAATTTAGCACCGGGAGTTATCACTCGTAAATTTTAGAGAGGAAAAGATTCTTTTAGAGCCTTTCTTCCTTACATGCCAATCTAATGTTGAATTAGATAATTATTCTGTTGTTCTATTTTTATTTCCCAGTGATTTGTCTTGAGGCAGAATTTCCCACTGTCAAATATTTAATTGAGTAACTGCTGTATCTCTCTCTCTCTATATATATATATATAGATATACATGTATGTGTGTTACACACACACACATATATATATATTTATTTTTTTATGCCAGTCCCTAAGAATGAAAAGAGGTACAAGATAAGATTTCTGTCTTTAGAAAATTATTTTAGGAAGATAGATTATTGATGACTCTTCACAGTATATGCTATTATTGTGGTATATTGTGTGTGGCTTGGAGATGTAGTTGGAGAGGACAGCATTGAGCTCTGTGGCAAGCAGATCATAAAGGTCTTATAGGTAATTGTGGGAGCTTTGGCTTTTACTCTGGGAGGGGGAAGCCGTAGACCTCTATATTGAGACTAGGGAAGCAAGGATGGAAGTTTAGAAACCAATTAGTATGCTCCTGCAATAATCTAGAAAACAGATGAAAGAACTTGGGCCAATGGTAGTAGCAGAAGGGCTGAGAAGTGACCAGATTATGGTAGCCAACAAGCCAGTTTGCTCATGGGATTGGATGTGGGAAGTGAGAAACAGAAGAGTGAAGAATTTTGGCTAGAGCAGCCAGAAGAATGAAATTGTCATTTTTTAAGACTGGGAGAAACAAGTTTGAGAGTGGGACTGACTAGGAGCTCAGTTTGGACATCTTAAGTTTGAGGATCTTATTAGATACACAAGTAGAAATATGTGAGTCTGGAAATTAAGGAGAAGTGCAGACTGGAGATACAGATCACAAGCTTTTAGCACATAGATGGTGTTTGAAGCCATGAGATTGAATGATATCATCAGGGAAAGGTATTTAGGTAGAAAGGAAAAGTTAAAGACTAAGCTCTGGAACATTCAGAGGTTAGGAAGATGAGGAAACATTAGTAAAGGACAGACCAGAGAGGAAGAATGAAAATACAAGAATTTTGTTTGCAAGTGAGTAAGTCAAGTGTGTCGGGAAGCCCTTCTGTTTTTGCAGGGTTCTTTCCCTTTGCAAGCTTTCTCTTTCTTCCTCTCCAGTAGAGTAACTCCAGGGAGGACAGATCAGTTTTTGCGAATGTGAAACCATGGCATGCATTTTGATTTCAGGTGTGAGGCAGTCAGCTGTGGAGAATTACCCACTCATGAAAAACATGCACCTTTTATTCTACCTCAGAGATTTTTAACAGATAAAAGCTCTATGAATGTAAAGAATCTGTGAAGAACTTTCGTTAGTGGCTACCAATTTACTGTACTTTAGAGATTTTAAACTGCTGAAGAAACTTGAATGTAAAAAAGATGGGAAGGCCTGTATTTCTACCTCTCACATTGCTTAGCATGAGTAAATGCACAGTTTTGAGGAACCTAATAAATGTCAAGAACTCAGAAGAAGAAAGTGTGTGTGAGGAGGCAGGTGGGGAATAGATAAGAACAGAATGTCCTTCTCACGTACTAGTTCCCAGGATCTTGCATTCAGAAGTTTACCCCAGACACATAAAATTTATATTTACCATGGCATTTGACACAATATTTTGAGGCAGCAAATTCTTTTCTCTTGAAAGTGAGATATTTTCTTAAGGTGTGTGAACATCTTGTCTAAATTCAGTTCAGTTCAGTTGCTCAGTCGTGTCCGACTCTTTGCGACCTCATGAACTGCAGCACACCAGGCCTCCCTGTCCATCACCAACTCCCGGAGTCCACCCAAACCCATGTCCATTGAGTCAGTGATGCCATCCAACTATCTCATCTTCTGTCGTCCCTTCTCCTGCCCTCAATCTTTCCCACCCAGCATCAGGGTCTTTTCCAATGAGTCAGCTCTTCGCATCAGGTGGCTCAAGTATTGGAGTTTCAGCTTCAAACATCAGTCCTTCCAGTGAACACCCAGGACTGATCTCCCTTAGGATGGACTGGTTGAATCTCCTTGCAGTCCAAAGGACTCTCAAGAGTCTTCTCCAACACCACAGTTCAAAAGCATCAATTCTTCAATGCTCAGCTTTCTTTATAGTCCAACTCTCACATCCATACATGACAATTGGAAAAACCATAGCCTTGTCTAGATGGACCTTTGTTGACAAAGTGATGTCTCTACTTTTTAATATGCTGTCTAGGTTGATCATAACTTTCCTTCCAAGGAGTAAACATCTTTTAATTTCATGACTGCAATCACCATCTGCTGTGATTTTGGAGCCCAGAAAAATAAAGTCAGCCACTGTTTCCACTGTTTCCCCATCTATCTGCCATGAAGTGATGGGACCAGATGCCATGATCTTAGTTTTCTGAATGTTGAGCTTTAAGCCAACTTTTTCACTCTCCTCTTTTCACTTTCATCAAGAGGCTCTTTAGTTCTTCTTCACTGTCTGCCATAAGGGTGGTGTCATCTGCATATCTGAGGTTACTGATATTTCTCCTGGCAGTCTTGATTCCAGTTTGTGCTTCATCCAGCCCAGCGTTTCTCATGATGTACTCTGCATATAAGTTAAATAGGCAGAGTGACAGTATACAGCCTTGATGTACTCCTTTTCCTATTTGGAACTAGTCTGTTTTTCCATGTCCAGTTCTAACTGTTGCTTGCTGACCTGCATACAGGTTTCTCAGGAGGCAAGTCAGGTGGTCTGGTATGCCCATATCTTGAAGAATTTTCCACAGTTTATTGTGATCCACACAGTCAAAGGCTTTGTCATAGTCAATAAAGCAGAAATAGATGTTTTTCTGGAACTCTCTTGCTTTTTTGATGATCCAGTGGATGTTGGCAATTTGATCTCTGGTTCCTCTGCCTTTTCAAAACCAGCTTGAACATCTGGAAGTTCACGGTTCACGTATTGCTGAAGCCTGGCTTGGAGAACTTTGAGCATTACTTTACTAGCGTGTGAGATGAATGCAATTGTGCAGTAGTTTGAGCATTCTTTGGCATTGCCTTTCTTTGGGATTGAAATGAAAACTGAACTTTTCCAATCCTGTGGCCACTGCTGAGTTTTCCAAATTTGCTGGCATATTGAGTGCAGCACTTTCAACAGCATCTTCTTTCAGGATTTGAAATAGCTCAACTGGAATTCCATCACCTCTACTAGCTTTGTTCATAGTGATGCTTCCTAAGGTCCACTTGACTTCACATTCCAGGATGTCTGGTTCTAGGTGAGTGATCACACCATCGTGATTATCTGGGTCATGAAGATCTTTTTGTACAGTTCTGTGTATTCTTGCCACCTCTTCTTGATATCTTCTGCTTCTGTTAGGTCCATACCATTTCTGTCCTTATTGCGTCCATCTTTGCATGAAATGTTCCCTTGGTATCTCTAATTTTCTTGAAGTGATCTCTAGTCTTTCCCATTCTATTGTTTTTCTCTATTTCTTTGCATT